TTAGGAAGACATCAATAACACAATAATCACATTCCTGTTCTATTCAAGTTTTCATTTTGATTTTGTTATGAATCATTTTTAGTTAGACTATAATTGGGTCCAGAAATCTACAAGCAACAACTAATTTTAGCTTAGATTTTCGATTTAATTTTAGGGTTTTTAAGTTTATCTATTGAAATCAAACCATCATTGTTATTGGGAGATTTATTAATGGTATACACTTCATATGACCATTTTGTGATTTGGATAATGTATTGAATACATTTTCAATTTGATTTGAGCAATAATCATCCTTTATCAATGTAGTTGGCTTCTAATATTGGAAATATTAATTGTAGCTGTTCGTTTTTCAACTGGAGAGGATCCTTGGCCGATGTTTGGTTAATATCATGAGTTTATTTCCCAAAATGGTATTTCAAAGGTATTACAGAAAATCCAACAACTTCATCACCTATTGTAAAGAAATTTGCTTATCGAATATGTTTTATGTTTACTTTTTTTTTATTCATTTTTGTGTGTCTTCTTCCCTAATGTGTTAACGCTCATGAGTTATACTCTGTTTTTGTTCTATCTATATTGGAGTGTATTGGTTTTAGTGTTAACAAAGGTGATGATTGCTGACATTGGTTTTGATTTACTGTGTTTTACTTCTCATTTGGTCGCACATTAATCGAGACGCATATGACCTTATACACAAAGAAGTCAAAGGAACACATGTATATTATTTTCCAAGTGTTTTTATTCTATTTTTTCTAAGTCTTTGCTTCTTATTTCCATGTAAATAGCTCCTGTATTGCATTTTGCATTTTGCATTGGACCTTATAAAATAGAAACACATGCCAAGTATGATGTGTTTTTACTTTTCTGCCATTTGAACCCTATGATTTTTTTTAGAGCTTATTTACTTACTATTTCTCTTATTGCAGGTGTCAAACTCCACATATGATTCCCAAAGTAACTTGAAGAGTGTGTAGGAGTTGATCTACAAGAGAGGATATAATGAGCTTCACAAGGAAAGAATCCCATTAACAGACAACTCCATTGTTGAGCAGGTTTTGGTTTTTGCAATTTATTTTTATTTCTTTACCAAAAAACAAAGTACATTGTCATTTGGTTCGTTTTTCATATTTAGGTGGTAAATGCACTAAATATCAATGTACTTTGAATTTACACCTTTTTTTATTTTATGCAATCTGTTTTCATTTTTTTTCCAAAAAACAGAGTACATTGCTATTTTTTGTAATTTTTCAGATCTAGGTAGTAATTATACTAAATATGTAACACCCATACAAATCATGCCAAATTTGAACTTTTAAAAACATTTCAAAACCATTAATTCATTACAACTTATTTTCAAAATATATATTATCAGAGTTTTTCCCAGAAACATAAACAAGACATGAGGAGCTGTACGATCACACATTCGCCTTGCCGCGATCCCCTGATGTACCTGAAACAATAAACTGAAACTATAAGCCCGAAAGCTTAGTGAGTTCCCCCAAAATACCCATACCCACAACAATACACAAATGATCATAAACAACATACCATGGGTCCAGTCCACCATCGGGTTGGAATTCCCCAGGCCCTCAACCATCAGGTTGGAATGCCAACATACTATGAGTCCAATCATCCTCGGGATGGAATATCTCAGGCCCACAACCAACAGGTTGGAATGCACCCATACTATGAGTCCAATCATCCTCGAGATGGAATACTCACGACCTACAACCAACAGGTTGGAATGCCCAGGTCTATTGGCTTTCGCACAAAGCAGATAAGCCTCAACCGCCAAACAAGCATGTGCACATATAACAGATAATCACATAACAGTCTATAGACAATAACTGATCCAACGGATCATACCACATAGCACATAATACCATCCTACCTACCAGGATACCGATCTAACAGATCATATCACATACCACATAATACCATCCTACCCACTAGGATACCGATCTAACAGATCATACTAACATAACATATCTAGATAACAATCCAAAGGGTCGGCCTTGGTGCCTTAGAACCTTGAGTATAATGAGGATAACACACCTCACGAATGTCGCACCGAAGTGATAAGCTCAACTCTCGAATAACCGACATGAACTCCATCACCTATAGTTACCATAAAACCATTTCCATAGATTTCCAAATTACCAAAATACTCCCAGAGGTCAAACTGGTCGACCCTTGGTCAAAGTCAACGTCAAAGTCAACAATCAAGGTTAATAGTCCATGTTGACCCGACTCGTCGAGTGCAGTTCACCGACTCGTCGAGTCCTTCCTGAACTCAAGAAGTTGTGAAATCCTTGGTTGACTCGTTGAGGTTCCCTGCAACTCGCCGAGTTCATGCGTGTCCAAATGTCTGGAAAACCCTAGTTGACTCGCCGAGTCACACCACTGACTCGCCGAGTTCATGTAGAAGTCCTTGCACGACAATCTTCATCGGACTCGCCGAGTTGGCCATGCAACTCGTCGAGTCCCTTCAATCCATTATCCATTCAGATGCTTTTTAAGCCATTTTAAGGTTCCATATTGCAGATCCGGCTTCCCAATGCATGTTTATCACGTAAAGTTGCAAACTTTACGTGCATGCAAGGCTCTAAAGACTTATAATGTCAAAACCAAGCTTGTAATGGAGTTTTACACCTAAGGAGAGGTTCATACTTGCTAAAGCTGGAAGCTTTATCGACTAAGAGACCAAAGAGAGTTCAGATCTGAAGTTGCAACTTCATATCTTAGCTCATACCCAAGAATAGCTTTTTAATATGCTAGAAAAGCCCTAATCTTTAGCCAAATGAGATCTGGAAGGAAATGAGGTCAAGGTAACGACTTGATACCTTCAAATGATGCTAAGCTGAGGTAATATTCAGATCCACACATGTTCCTTGCTTCAAGCTTCTCTCACTAAGATCCACCTTCCAAAGCTTAACACACACAAATGGAGCACACACACACACGTATTAGGGTTTGCTGAGCTCTCAAGGGACAGTAAGGAGGCCAAAGGAGGCTAGTGATCCCTTAAATAGGGTGCAAAACCCCGGAAATTAGGGTTTCATCCTCCAGCTCCTACTCGTCGAGTCCTATCTTGGACTCGGCGAGTAGGTCACTTAAACACGTGGACCAACCCGCTGCTACTTGACGAGTCAGGGAAACCTACTCGTCGAGTATACCTTGAAATCATGAAAATTTATAACCATAAATCAATACCTGAGAATCGGTACGTTACAAAATACTAATCTACTATCAGTTTGCACATTTTTTTTGGATGTTTGCAAATCATTATCAAGGTATCTACATAACTAAGCTTAACTTCTCTATCTATAATCAAGTGTTGTCCGAATAGATGTTTCTAAAAAATATTCGGCCAATTGACTATACACTTGACAAATGACAAGAAAGGATTGTTAGAAATGTTTCAGCTCCATAAAGCAACTCCTGATGAATTTTAGTTAGTGAAAACAGAATATTAAAATTTATTATTAGAGAAGGTAACAAAATTGTGAAGAAGAAAAAGTGACACCTTTTACACAATATATATTACTCATGAATCGTGATACCTTTTTATTTATATTGTAGGATAAATTAAGCAACAAACGCGAAGATCTTTTACTTGAGAAAAAATCAAGGAATGTAGATGAACAAGAACAAATTACTATAAATAATAGAGTACTCAGAAAGCAAAGATGGCTTTGAGGTATTTTAGATATTTTTTTTTGCATGTTAGATATATATTGGGATTGTTATTTATTATATTTAATTTTTAATAGGACACACACTCTAAACTTTACAGTAAGCTTTTTTTACAATCATTTATGGTTCTTTAGTTAATTAAATCTCTCACCGTTTTAACAAAATCATCTTATTTGACGTATTATTCAATCACAAAAACCCACCATTTTCCTAACAAATAATTGATTTAACATGTAAATCTTCCATTGAATTAATTTCTTTTATTACATACTTTCCAACCCTTTCTTTTCACTTATTAGTTTAATTTCTATTTTACAAAACTTCTTGAAGGATTGCACTACCCATTTGTTGACTTGGTTTACCTTTGTTTGACCAATAAGTTCCTACAATAAATTATTGTAGTTGGAGATAGTCTTCTTTGACTAATATATAATCTAAAAGTTGGAGGCTTAGGCTTTACGGAGTGGGATGCGGTTTGGAACCGCGATGGTGACACGTGGCCATGGAACACCGCCCCCAGGGCGCGGTTAGGTGCGGCTAAGACCGTGGTTTGTGATTGGTTGTTGGTGGGTGTGACCGTTGGGGGCATAAATGAATTGATTTATTTATTTATTTATTTTTTTCTTTTTTGCCTTTTGAAAGTGTGCCACCACTCCCTTGGTGTGGCAAGAAACCACACTTGTGTGGTAAAAAATGACATGGCGGAGGAGGGAGTGCGGTTTCGGTGGCACCATACCCTCCAGCCTTATATCAAGGTGCTAAGATAGGTTTTTATGCTGCATAGATAAAGCTTAGGGGCAAAAAAGTCAAAAAAAAAAATTCAAAAAAATGGCAGCAAAAAGCGACTGTTTCCTACATCCTCTATAAAGAGCATTTTCGGTAGTTACAACTTTCTCCTAATAACTCAGATGGACAAAATTCAAAAACTGAAGTGATGAAATGCTATTTAATTATATAAAATTTTCGGTGGATTTCTTTTAATATATTTTTTTTTTACTTTTCAATATTTACAACGTGTTCTATTATGCCTGATTCACCGTCACTTTAACCAAAATTAGTGTATCCACGCTTCATTCCTTGGTCACCGCCTCTTTATCCACCTTCGAGATATTACCGTCTCCACCGCTTCATTCCTTGGTCACTGACTGATCTATCTACCTTCCGGCGCTCGCCTCTCCTACAAATCCAAACCGCCTTGCAGAAACCGTCGTTTCCCCCATCGACAAAGACGTCCTTATTCCTGTTGTTCGGATCGGAGCTGGAGTCGGGTAAACCACCAACGATTACAATATGTGCCCTTTCTCATGCTTTCCAGAAATCTCCGACTGAGAGTCCGATTACGGTTCTTGGACACACTCACTAGACGTGTATCTGGAACGACCCGGTTATGCACAAACAAATATCAAGCTTATCTACTTTTTATTGAAAGACACATCGCTATCTCACACACGGGAAGTAGTATTTATTAGAGGTATAGGTTTTGATAATTTATCGTTTTCCTCTCATCACCGTCTTTCTTTCTCTGAATAGAAACCACGCTTCAGGTCCTTTGGATTCCATTTACATCGATAACCTAATATTGATGATTATCTTTTTTTTTTTTTTTTGAAATTGGTTGGTTGATGCGATAGCAGGTAGCTAAACTACAGAGGGTTTTTCTGCTGCTGTTCATCCTATCTTACCCAGGTGAAAGAGTCTCTTCTTTACCTCATGTTTTTTGTTCTTAGATTGTGATTGTAGAAGATAAATTAAAGTATTTTGTTGATGTGCATTTAAAGTTTATAGATGGTGTTTCCGATGTGTTTTTTGGGGAAAAATGAACTATATTTTTTTTATCTATTCTTATAGGCTAAAACTCATCTTCAAACAGAGATCCCAACAAAGTAAGGTATTGTCTCACAATCCTATTACGTTTCATATGGTTGTTGCTTTTGTGTTCAGTTTCTTACAGTCGTACATAATTATGTGGATTTATGAAGTTAAAGAATCTGATTTACAGTTTTTGTGTTCATTTGAATATGTTAGATCTAAAGCTGATTTCCAATTTCTGGGTTGGGTTCAGATGAATGTGTTGCTTGCTTTCTTTTGTTTAACAAGGATATAGTTTGATAAATATATTATGCACACCATGTGGTTGATTATGTCAAATTAAAACAATTGGGGCGAGGTTTTTTTAGGTAAAATGAAGGGATTTATTTATCGATATTTCTTATAATTTTTATTTGAGTTTTGGGTCATCATGTGTGGTCAACGTATATGCTTTCATTAATATATTCTCATATCTTGAAAACGCTAACCGTTTATGCTGTACAGGTGTTAATTTACTTTCTGCCCTCTTACACATTGATAAAGAGAAGAGAATAGAAGAGTACTGATGGTATCTTCACCAAATCATAATGACATGGTATTCCTAAAGGTACTCGCTCTGTTCTACAAATTTTGATATCTTCGTGCTTACTGAAGGTCATTGGAGACCCGCTTTTGCTGCCCTATTGATTCATGGCTTTTGATTCATCATTTATGAGGAGTGTTTTTCATCCTTCTTTTGATATGCCGAAAAAATTGGTAAGTAAGACCCAATTTCTTTCGTCAGTAGGTTAATTGGAGTCTCGAGTGGCTTTTTTGATTATGAACTCACAGATTCTATGTAACTAATGAAGGAGTTTTTGACCATATAGGTGTTTTTAAAAAACTTATTTACCCAATGGGTATACTTTTAAACTTATTTACCATGTAGGGGTTATTTAGCAATTTAATAAAAAAAATAAAAATAACAGTGCCCTAATTTACTTCTTACTGAAACCGATTCTTACCCTTCGTCTTCTTCCATCGTCGACGACTGCAAGACTCCGATAATCTATTGATTTCAGCGACTTCGGCGGCAAGAGCATCATCTCCGACACACCACTTCCGGCGACTCCACCACTGCCGGCCACTCCGGTGGCGACCCCAGCGACGTAATCAGCGACTTCGGCCTTCCAGGTATGTTTTCAATTAGAACTTTGATTTTAGGCTATAATTGCTTCATTTATGTGTTTGTTAGGGTGTAATTGCTTCGATTTTTAGTTTAGATTCATTTGAAATTTGATTTTTGATTTCTATATTTGTAAAATCGATTCCTGTTTGATTAGATTTTGTGAAATTCGTTTTTTAGGCTGTAATTGCTTCAATCACGTGTTTTTTAGGCTATAATTGCTTCGATTTTAGTTTAGATTCGTTTGAAATTCGATTTTTGATTTCTATATTTGTGAAATCGATTTCTGTTTGTTAGGGTTGGTTTGTTTGATAGAATGCTGTTTGATTTTTTGATTTCAATATCTTCAATCACACTTTTTAAATTCTGTTTTTTTTATGTATTTGATTGTAGATGGATGCTAATGTCATATTAGACATTGTTCACAATGAGGATTTCCACTCAATCTCTCGAGTTGTTGTTGCAAGAAATGCAATAGCAATTGATAATGAAGTTGCTGCAAATGATGTGTTAGAAGAAGATGAAATTGGTGAAGAAGATGAAATTGGAGAAGAAGATGATGAAGAATCTTTTGAAGTTCCTTCAACTTTTACTACTATGGAGGAAACAAATATAACTACGGATAGCAATTGGATTGTGTCACAATTAGCGAGCAACAATGATTTTACACAACTCTTTCAAAAAAAAAAGAATGATTTTACACAAGAGTTGGGAAAAGATTCTTTCAAGGATAAAGAAGAACTTATTAGAGCTATCAAGCTTTATAGTATTAAGACACATAAACAGTTTGAGGTTGTTGAGACACGTCCAACTCTATGGACCATAAGATGCAAGTTACATTTACAATCCGGTTGCAAATGGCAAGTTCGTGCAATCAAACGAAAACGAAGTGGATATTTTGAAATTACAAAGTATACCGGTCCACATACTTGCAATGGGAGTTGATGGTAATAATCAAATTTTGCCACTAGCATTTGCAATTGTAGAAAATGAATCATATGATAGTTGGAATTGGTTTCTTTCTTATATCAAGATTCATGTGGTAAAAGAACGTGAACGTATTTGTTTAATTTTTGATCGTCATCTTGGAATCCTAAAGGCAGTCAATCAACATGGATCGCCATGGTTAGAGCCACGTGGTTTTCATAGGTATTGTTTATAACACACATTATGTTTATTTTTTTTTAACTTTATAACTCACATTATTATTTTTTATTTATAGGTATTGTTTACGTCATTTTATCAACAACTTTTATGAGAAGTTTCGTAATTCATAATTGAAAGCTCTAGCTTATCGTGCCGAGAGTCAAAATCAAGTTCAGAAATTCAACTCAATCATGGAAGAAATTGGGAAGCTAAATCCACAAGCTAGACAATGGCTAGAGAGTCATCCACTTGATAGATGGACACTTGCACATGATGGTGGGAGGAGATATGGGTTGCTCACAACAAATTTGTCGGAGATTTTTAATAGTGTCCTTAAAGGTGCCCGTTTTTTACCAATCACGGCTTGTGTCCAACTTACTTTTTATAGATTGGTGCATTACTTTGAGGTGAGACGCCCTTTAGAAAATAGTTCACGAGCTAATGGAGATGCATATACCCCTCATGTTCTTGTCAAACAAGTAGCTTTGATGTCAAAAGCAAGTGCACATTCCTTGAGATCTTTTAATCGAGAGAAAGGTATATTTGAGTTGATAACTCAAAGAGGAAGAAATGTGCAAGTAGTTAATTTGGAGCAAAAAACTTGCACATGTGGTAAGTGGGAAGTGTTTAAATATCATTGTTCTCATGTCTTAAGTGTATGTGCCACACTTTCTTTGAATAGTTGGCAATATGTTGATAAATGTTATTCAATTGTAAAATATTGTGATACTTGGGCTTCTGAATTTTCCCCACTTCCTCATGAAGCGTATTGGCCACAATCAATGTTTAAAGAATTTCTTCCAAATTTAGAGCTCTTACGGAATAAAAAAGGTCGTCCCCGTTCAACAAGACTTCGAAATGGAATGGACATTAAAGAAGGAAGAAAAGCAAACCATTGTGGAATTTGTAAGCAAAGTGGTCACAATCGAAAAAAATGTCCGTCTAAACCAAGGTAAATTAAGACATTCAATATTTTTTTTTTCATTCGTATAACTTTATATCTTATTTTTTATTTATTGTTTTTGCATATAGTGGTTATCGAATCAAAGTTATTTGGAATGTTTCTTATTTTCTTTTGTCTTTTGTAACAAACGATTGTCGGGTTTGTACTTAAAATATTTTACTTATGAATTTTTTTTTAGTTTAAGATGTTGGTTTAAATTTAAAAAATTGTTGGTTGGTTTAAATTTTAAAAGTTATTTCTTGGTTTTTATAAGAAGATTTGTTAAATATAATGATGTTTGTAAAAAACAATTAATAAACAGTAAAAGCAAAGAAAAGCTAAAAAAAATTATTATATTAAATAAATAAAGAATTGGTTACAGTGAAGGTTTAGACTTTAGAGTGCAAATAAAGTTTTACTTTGTGGCCTATGCACGTATGAAAGAAGGAAAAAGAAAAGAGCATCACATGTTTTAAAAAATAATATAAAATATTAAATAACCCTATATGGTAAATATGTTTAAAAGTATACCTATATGGTAAATAAGTTTTTCAAAAACACCTCTATGGTCAAAAACTCCTAATGAAGATATTCGGTTAGATTTGTGTTTGATTTCCAGTTTTTTAGGAAAGTTAAGAAGAAATAAACTATTTTTGCAGGTGGCCAATCATACCACAACCCCCGCGAAGGATGTATAATGATGCAAAGAATCATGCCTCAAGAGCTCTTGAGAGAGGTCTTGATCAGGATTGAATCATCTGAAAATAAGTGGCCTTCCCGGAAGAATGTTGTTGGTTGTGCTACTGTTTGTAGGAGTTGGAGAGAGATCATGAAGGAGATTGTTAAGAGGCCTAAGATTTCCGGGATGTTGACTTTCCCAATTTCTGTCAAGCAGGTTTACCTCAATTCCTAAAACTGACTGATTGTTTAATTTTTATTGTGTGCCCTCGATGATTATCAATCGTTTTAGGGTTGGGATCTTTGTTGTATGATTTACTATTTGGGTAGATTTTTGTTGTGTGGTGATTATCTATAACTTTTATAAGGATTTTGTTGGGTGTAGACAAAGGAATACACAAGGGATTGATTGTGTTAATCACATAAGGAAACAAATATTAGAATACATATATGGTACATGGGATGAGAAATTAAGAAATCTCTATATTTATTAAACCTGTATGATCCACTATTAGGGTTGATTATGTGGTACTTATTCAGTATTTCACTGTGCATGTATGGCAACCGACAACCTGACCGTTTGTTTGGTATTCTGATTTCTGAATGATGAGCTAAATGATAAATAACTACCATTTTAACCCTATGTATGAATAAGTATTAAATGAAAACATGGTTGTTTGATAAGTTTTCTTAACTAACAGAAAATTACAATCTAAATGAGAAAAGAAACAGAATAATATCACACCTATTTGAATAACATAAGATATAATCAACCAAGATTCGTGAAAATTTACTAAAATTATAAAGAAAACACCATAAAACAATAGAATCAACAAATGAAATACACCTTGCTCAAATAAATACCAATAATATTGTCTTTCATTTTTCACCTTTTATTTGTAATTTATTCAATTTTTTTATTTTTCTTAATAATCAGGTTCTTAAAGCTCTCATAGGGAATAATGTTGAGATTGGTGCAAATTCATGCATTGATAGAGGCAGGTAAGCTTATATTGTTTTCTTTTTACAAGTTAATACACTTGGAGCCTTGATGTTTCTAATTATACAAAATGACATATCAACCCTTTGTGCAGTTGGATGGATGATAATATTTTGAAAAAAACGGTTTCCAATTTCTGTTTATGAATACGATTTTCGTAACTTTTTTAACTGTTTTATTCTTTTTGTAGATCTCTCGAGATGATGAAATAACCAGACCTCATCATTAATTTTAAATCTATCAGGCTTTTGCGAGGTAGAGTTACTGATAGTTTCATTGTCCGAATGTATACATTGAATACAAATGTTGATTTAGTAAATGTGGCTTCTTTCTGTATATGATTATGAACTGAACTTTTATAAACCTTTGTTCACAATGTTCATCCTCAATAAACTCTTCCCATTTTGTCCATTTCTTTGGCGTATCCAACCCCGCAAAGCGGGGTTCTTCCCTAGTTTATATAAAAATATGAAAACAATCTTTTTATCAGTTTCCTAAATCTAGATGCACTTTCTAAAAATCAAATTTATCCTAATATACATGTTTTATCTTTAGTAAATTCTTTTCCATTTTAATGGTAAAAATGGATCTTTTTTCCAAAGAAATAGGACGAGTTAAAAGCTTCCAATGTTTGACTTTGTTTTGACAAACCAAATGGCCCTAATTGGTTTTTGTTATTACTCTTTACAAGTGTCGAAGTGTGCAATTGTAATGCTTCCCTTGAGATTTTTCATATTGTCGCTAGCTTTGAGTCCCAAGCAGTAAAGGAAAGTAGATACAACAGAAAACGAAAAGTTATGGATAAATGATTTTTAAAAAAATATTTGAAAAAGTTACGATTGATTAATGGAAATGGAATAAAAAATTGGGAAGTTTGTAAATTGGGTTGGATAAAATGAGGAAATATTACTTTTATATATTTTCTTGATCCTTTTATGTTTTACATGGTAGAATGATGTACGATGTTCTAAAGACATAATCGGGGAAGTTTCAAAAACTCACAACGTTGCCCAGTGATCTTTGATCTTTAAACAATACTTCTCAACCACTATGTACAGACACGCCGGACATGAAACACCGCCAGACATGAAACACCGGAGGACATGACCATTTTGGCATTAAAGCACTCCTGAAATCCAACAACCCAGACGGCCTTCAAACCGGATTCTCCGTACCGCGAGTAGTTAAAAAGACATTATAACGACACTTATATAAGTAATAATAATAGCCCAAATATTTATTATAAGTTCATAATAACAATACTAATAATAAATATAAGCTATATTTAAAATAGGGTAAGCGTATCTCACTTAAGGGCTGATAATATTAAAGTATTCAACTTTTTTGGAATTATGGTCTGCTTTAATGGGATTTACATTATATTACATACTTAAACCAATGACTTTGAAAATATTCCAATTAAACATCCTATTTTCATTTTAGTTAATATTTATATAAATATTAACCATAAGGTACCTTTGTGAACAGTTCTTACCTATCATTGGTGGGTTTTTCCTTTTTTGTTTTCTTTTATTTTTTTTCTCTGATTATTGTTTTTTTAATGGTTGATGTCTGGATTATTGTTTAAACACGTATTGTGTTATTAATTGTTTAAACACGTATTGTTTAAAATGAAAGTAGAATGTTATTAATCGGTAATATTTCAAAGCATGATGTTTTAAAATGACATACAATTAAATCTGATCTTTGATTTAAACGGATTCTTCCAGTTTTTTATGATATAGTGATAAGTTTAAATGCATAAAAAGATAGAACTATAATTTACCACAATTTTTCTTTTCTTATTTTTTATAAAATATTGACATAACTCACTATAACTATTAATAACAATCAACGAAAATTAACAACAATTTCTTAGCTCAATAAACGATAAAAAAACAAAAACAAAATTTTAAACTATCTCAAAATCTTATTAATCTAGCTATTATCTTTATGATTTTACGAATCCTATTGAATTTAAATAATCAAAATAAAATGTTCATGTCAATTATATTTGTTTTTATATAAAGAATTCAATGCTAAAACTCAAATATGACATCTTTTTTTTTATAACTTTTACTAATTATTAGCATTTTATTCAACCAATAAAAAAATATAACTTTTTAATTTGAAAAAACCACTAATTTATCCTAATTTTAAATTTATAAACATATCCTAAAACTATCTGGATTATCTATCCTAACTAAATATGTGGTGGATACGACTTAATTTGACTTTTTCTTATCCCTCCAAACTTTCAAGACTCAATTGTTTTCATTCCTCTCATGCTCCTGAAAAACGGTATATTTTATTGTGTTTTTGTTTCTACGTTTTTACTTCATGCTTTATAGTGTTATTAACATTAAAAAAAAAAAAAAGCATACTTTTATTTTTGTACAGCCACAGACAACATTTTCCCCCCACTATTTATCAGATTCAAACAGGTACCTCTCTCCATGTTTTTGAAAATGTGTTCGTGATTTGCAATCAATGTTAAATGTATCACGTTAATATCTATGTGTTTCTTTTTTCTTTACTTCTTTTGATTATTTGACCCTAAAGCATAAAACAACTATAAAAAATCATGTTGCTATTTTTTGCATTTTTATATATTATTATACAATACATGTATGACTACTTTTATATAGGCAATTCCTTGAACAATGTGACCACTATATGCACATGAATTAAGCAAAATAAATTAAAAGCATGTTTGAGTTGAATATTATACCTAATACGGTTTCTCATCAAAATCTTCAAGCCATATACACCAAAAGTAAATCATGAGATTCAATAAACACAACAAATGTATAATCTACATCAAAGTTTGACAATTTACCAATTACAACAACCAACTTTATTTTTATTTCATTTTTTAAGCAATAAACTTTGAATATCTACCAAGTACATCATCCTACATTTATTTTATTTCGTATTAAAATGAAAGTATGATGATGTAATTGGTAAATTTGAAAAAGTACATTGATGTAAAGAGAAGTAAAATTAATGTAGGTTATTGAAATAGGTATATTTTCAAAGTACATTGCTAATACGAAAAAAATGATTTAATACTTAATTACACCAGATTTGTATAACTTACTCAATCTTGAACTAAATTTGTATCTCATAAATGAAACCAAAAAATCAAAATGAAGAAAATATAGATACATTTTCTAAATTGAAAGCATAGATTAGTTTACGGCTAGAAAATAACGTACTTAGTCTTCCGAATGCCTTAAAATCAAAATCCATATGATGTTTACCTACAACATATGTAGAAACCATCAACAAGTATAATGCCTTAAGCTCTTCTTAACTTTTATAATAATAATAATAATAAAAGAATGATATTTAAAGCTCTTAATCCATTAAGCTCTTTGTTTAAGGCTTAATAGTATGTTGTAGTTTAAATATTAATTCAGTGGTTGTCCATTAACAGTTTAAATTTTGAATTAAAAGGACTAAAATGTCAATTTATCTAAAAAACTACCAAAGTTTTGATCATGACCTTGAAATTTGTACTTCGACAATTTACACCCAACCTGTTTTTCCTTTACAAATTTGGTACTTTCAGAAATTACCAAATACCCCTTCAAGGATCTTGAATGTATGCATGACTCCTATTTACAATATTTCTTACATTTAGGTTTTATACCCTAAACTAAATGTCATGGTACTTTTTTTCTATATATAAATTTTACATATTAATTAAAATTCATAATATTATTTATACTTTAATAATTTTGTTTTAAATATGAATCATTTTGACAGTTAAATGGTGGAACCACTAATGTTGAAGAAAATATTAAGGTTGAAGCACAAGGTCCATCGGTTGAGCAGACTCACGAGTTGTTGGAAGTATTTGATCTTGATGGAAAAGGTTCATCACCCAAGTAGACTCGGGAGTTGGAATTTCATGATCTAGTTGAGCAAACTCACGAGTTATTGGAAGTATTTAATCTTGAAGAAAAAAAAGGTTCATCAAGCGAGCAGACTCAGGAGTTGGAATTTCATGATCTAGGAAAAGGTCCAGAATCTGAGGGACAAAAGAATCAAGATCTTCCTAGTTTGTCAAAGCAAGAACCCAATGTAGATAAAGATTATGTTTTTGTTAGGAGGTTTGTCATTGTCTAATAGACATAAATACATGTGTGTGTGTGAGTGCACACACACATTGTTGATATTAATACTAAATGCAGGAATACAAGATTTGAAAATACACTGACCGTTAATTTACACGAGCTACGTATTTGTGAGGCATTGTGGAGGGTAAAAGATTACATTAATTTTGGTCTAAAGGGTGGCAGTAAGTATCTATTTCATCATCATCATCATCATCATCATCATCATCATATATATATATATATATATATATATATATATATATATATATATATATATATCCGGTAGGAAATGAAAAACAAATAAAAAGAATAAGAATGTAAGAAAGATTTATATCAAAAAGATAAAATTATAAATGTATAAAATCAGTTTTTTAACTGGTTTTATAATTTATATAATAATTAAGGAAATCACATTTTGAATTATGTAACTAAAAGTTCGTTTTTTTATACATTTATAGTTCTACCCTTTTGATATAAATCTTTCTTACATTTTTATTATTTTTAGATTTTTTTCCATTTCCTACCGAATATATATATATATATATATATATATATATATATATATATATATATATATATATATATACACACGATGATGATGATGATGATGATGAAATAGATACTTACTGTCACCTCTTAGACCAAAATTAAGGTAATCTTTTAACCTCCACAATGCCTCACAAATAAGTAGCTTGTGTAAATTAACGGTCAGTGTATTTTCAAATCCTGCATTCCTGCATTTAGTATTAATATCAACAGTCAGTGTGTGTTTGTGTGCATTCAAACACACATATGTATTTATGTCTATTAGACAGTGACAAACTTCCTAATAAAAACAGAATAGTTATCTATTTTGGGTTCTTGCTATGACAAACCAGGAAGATCTTGATTCTTTTGTCCCTCTGGGCCTTTTCCAAGATCATGAAATTTCAACTCCTGAGTCAGCTCGGTTGATGAACCTTTTTTTCTTCAAGATCAAATACATCCAACAACTCATAAGTCTGCTCAACTAGATCATAAAATTCCAACTCCTACTCTGGTGATAAACCTTTTCCCTCAAGATCAAATACTTCCAACAACTCGTGAGTCTGCTCAACTGATGGAACTTGTGCTTCAACCTCAACATTTTCTTCAACATGAGAGGTTCCACCATTTAACTGTCAAAATGATTCATATTTAAATAAAGATTATTAAAGTATAAATAATATTATGAATTTTAATTAATATCTAAAATTTATATAAAAAAAAGTACCATAACATTTGGTTGAAAGGGTATAAAATATATAA